ATCTGGTTTTGATAACATCGGGTATATTAACTCATCTGTTAATTTTTGACACATCATTGATTTATTTATTTAGAAAAATTGGATCCTGTTTTGGTATGTTGCTGTTTGCCTTTGTAACAAATGTGATGACATTTCCTTACTAAACAGGGAGATATGCTAGTTAATAGGATATATGGCTATGTTTTAATGCCTATTTTCGCTCAGAAGCAGACATGTACTGGATGAATTTATCATGTCTTGTTACAAATAATTCAAGTACTTTACCAAAAAAGTTTAATACTTGAATAAATTAGCCTGAACATTCACGGCTCTGACGCATAGTCCTGCAATCTGTGGCAGAAGGCCATGCTTTCTATTTTCTTGAAATTACTTCTTATTTTAAATGCCCAAATGGTGGTATTTCAGGATTTTTTGTGGCCCACAAGTAAAACACTGCTGATAAATGTGACACATTTCTTTACAGAAGCAGATTACGCCATGGAAAACACTCAGCTGTCTGGTAGATGATATACGAGGCCATACTCACAGCAGAGCTCTCTGGGCTTTGATGAGCAGAAGTTTGGACTGTCTCCTGCTCCTGTAGACTGAACTAACCAGGAACTAGAGCAGGCTTTAAAGTTTCTTATTGATTTCAGTCCTCTGCTAAAAAAGATAGCTAAGGAACTGCTGTTCATGCACTGAAGTTCTGTGAAGTCGCTGTCCTGTCACCTGCACATCCAGGCTTTACTTTTACTTTCGGTTCCTATATGAGACCCAACATACCCTTCTCTCAGCTAAGACTTTTGAGTACCGAGCAAGACAGAACAGGACAAAACAAACCCAAAACTTGCTACAGTGTGCCGAAGTGGGATTTTGTACAAGTTGTTACCAGAGGCTAATAAAGCAAGGGGCAAGGTTTAGACCTCCTGGGTATTGTAATCCCTGAGGTAGGGGTGTTGTGCTGAGCTATGCGCCTGTCCTTCCTGCTCGGTGATGGAGAAACACCGGGCGCCTTGCGCTGGAGGAGCCATAGCACGGGTAAGCTGAGCAGGAAGCTGTCGAGGGTGAGCTAGTTGGGACCTTGAGGCTGTGTGTATGTGGAGTACTTTCATTCCCTCATCCAAAGCCCTGAAATCCTGTTAACAAATGCGTGAGACAATTTAATAGCTCAGGCTGCCGCTGGGGAAGCAGAGCTGGGGTTTTGCCCCTGGGGAGTGGGAGCATTTGCTTTGCGCTGTGCCCAGCACCCACCGGCTCTCTGGCTGCCCGGCTCCTGCATTCCCACCAGCGGCAAGGGGCACAGGCTGGGCCCTTTCCAGAACACTTTTTAGCCAGAGGTTCATCTCCCGAGTGGTGGGTGTTGTAGAAGTGGGAGGATCCTTCCTCTGCTGCAGGGCCACTGGGTTGTTCTCCTCAAGGCAGACAGTCGCCATCCATGACTTGCAGTTTTCCTACTCGGCTTAGCCATACCACTTGGCGGGTGCTTAGTTGAGTTAAGAGGTGGAGGGCTGCAGATCACAGTTTTGTAGGGATACCCGTTTCACAAGTTTCAGAGCTCCCTCCCTTTTTGCTGGTGCCTCTTCACTTGTGTGGAGCAGTGAGCAAGCTGGCTGGTAAAACACCGTTCCTGGGATATCTAACTGTGCTAGCAACTTAAACACTTAATGCAGTTCTTAAACTTCAGGCATGACATTTCTGGCCCCTTGGGATTCGGAGCACCAAGTTTGCTTTTGAGAACAGGCACCTAAAACACAGCCACAAGTAAGGATGCTTCCATGTTTTTGAAGCTTTTCATAATGGTTAGAGCTCTTGCCAAAATTGAATGTTTTTTTCCTCAGTCCCTTTCTAAGAGACCACCATGGCCTCCGGTCTCCAGAAGAATTGCGGGAAGAAGGGTTATGGGAAGGAGGAGAAGCGGGTATTCTCCACCCTGTGCCATGGTGAGGAAAGATCTAGCTCGAGATCCCATCTTGTAGGGGAAAGATCCTGCATGAGAAATGTCATCTTACGACAAGAAGTGTGGAGTTGCACTGCAGCACGAGCCTTCTCTCTCCTCTAGTAAATAGTAGTTACTCTGACCACTGCTACTGCAGAGCAAGCCACACAAATGGATGCATTCAAAGCACCAGCAGATACCCATTTTCTCCTGTAAAATATTAGTTCTTTATGAGTCTATTCAGATTTTCCTGGTATGAAAAGAATGTTTATCTTTGGTAGCATTTACCTTAAACAGTATAATAGTCCAGTAAAGAAACTCTTTTTCCTTAGGAAAGCGTGATGCAGATCTTACAGTGTGCCTTAAAATTTAAGAGAGGCTTTCATGGAAAGGAGAGAAAGAAGAGCAGAGCTTAGAGGTGTTATTCCACTGCCAACAACCTGGCATGTTTAACAGAGCCAGTTAATCAAGCTCTATCATGTCCAGAGGAAGGTTTTTAAGTGAACAGAGAAGGTGAAGATCATCATTTTGGCCTTAACTGAGAAGTTGGAAACCCTCATCTGGACGTAGATCTGTCAGATCGGTACAGAAATGGACAAACACTTGTATCACTGTCTTGGTGATCTTTGTGTAAAATGCCCAAGAAAGCATTGCTTAGTCAGGATGGGAGGTGTCAAATGCTCTCAATTTTTGTGACTCAGGCATAGGTGTTTGCAGCAATGTTCATATCTAAAAACATAATGACATAGTCTGTATGCATGGACAAAGCCATTTGTGGGGTACGGAGCTGCTGCCCCAGGATCTGAAGTAATAATAATATGATAATAATCCAACAAATCAAGAAATAGAAATCAGCAGGTGAGAGGACTGAAACACTGCAAGGTGAAGAGTGAGATGATTGAAATTGCTAAGGGACCTGGACTTCCGCATCTTGCTGAAAATTAAATAGCAATGAATACATTCCCTGCAGGGGAGAATGTGTGGTATTCAGACCTGCTCAACAGTTTAAAAGACTTTTTAAGCCACCTGCCCAAGATTACAAAGGAAACTATGGAAAAGCCATGACCCGAATCCAGAGCCATTGAGACCCAACACAATGCTTTATTAATAAAGCTGTCTGGTCTAACTACTGAAAAGATCTTCAGGTGTAGGAAAAGCTGATGTTATACCTGCCAATCTTTCCAGACATCTTTTCTGATGCATCGGTGTAAGTCATTGGGTTGGGTTTCAGAAGTTTCCTCTTATAAAGCCCTGCTTTTAGTCTGGCAGTTGGATAGCTAAGAAACCTCGTGGTTCAGCATCGATGAGAAAAGATGTAAAGATGAATGCTGTATCTGGGCGTTGGTACCTGATTTGCCATATGATACTATCTTCTGGTTGCTTGTGCTCTTAAATAATCTAGTTAGGAATACTTATACTTTTGGCAGTGTAATCCTGCCCTATTAGCACTCTATGGGCCTGATCTGGCAAGTCCACCTCCAGGCAAAAGCCTAGTCAAAGTTGATAGAAGTTCTGTACAACTAAAGACTGCGGGGTCTGAGACATTAGAATTATATGATTGTGAGCGTCATAATAAGGAAAAGGAATATCACAATAAGACTTTCAAAAACTGTTTACACTGGTTTAGTCCAGTGAAGTCATTTCAACAATCTTCCTTTCCTAGCAAATATATACATTACATTAAATCAATTAAGAATCACAGATCAGTGATTATTCAGTAGTGGTCACATAAAAACAACTTTTTGTCATGTCTTAGTGATTAGGCATTGTGCAGTGCTTGCATTTCTAATTACAGTCATAAAAGCTGAAATCCCAATTTCTGTGATACATGGTAAATGGGCAGTGTCTGTTTTTATTTTTTCTCTTCATCACAAGAAATTGCTGTAGTTGTTATCGTTCTCATTGAGGGTTGTTCAGGCTCTGGGTACGTGTACCGTTACTGCTGTAGAAGTTGCGTCAAAGTGGTACCCACTTCAGCACAGAGCCAGATGTTTCCAGAATGTGTGCTGAGAGCATCCTTTGCTATTGCTGCCCAAAGGTACCCACAAAAAAAAAAAATTCGCAAATTTTTCTGCTAGCATATTCAAAATAGCTCTGCTTTGTCATGACTTTCATTTGTGTATCTTTGAATATGGGTTAAAGTTAAGAAAAAACCAGTAATTGCTGTTATTGTGTCTTTGTAGTAGATCTGATACTGAACTGAAGATTAAATCAATACTGTCATTTCTGTATAAAATTTCAGTTACGTTTTAAGCCATTATCACAGTCAATGTGCCTAATGTATTCAATTTTGCAACAAAACTAATCATTAATTTTATCTTTACTGATGTTAGTGTGTATTATAGCATTCTTCAAAACTATATTTGAAATGTCAGGTTACTTTTTTTCTGTATTTTAGGAGAAACCATAATATTAGAATAACATCTCTTATACTAATCTAATCCCTTTTCAGTTGTTTCATTCATATTTTGTCCCTTTGCAAGAAGGATACAGAAAGAATGAGTAACTGTTTTGTCAACAGGGACCATAATGATTAACATACAAACAGTAAATATGACTTCAGGTCTGGAATCGGATTATAGGATTAAAATGAATGAAAAAACTGCTCTGTAGTAGGATCACAAAGTTCCAATCAATATCATCCTGTAATAATTTTAAAGGGAAAAATGTGGGAAGGAAAGAAATAAGGCGGAGAAAGGACAACTTGAAGTTGTTAGTGAACCTTGAGTTTCTCGGTTTTCTTTTGGTTTGTCGGTAGGTCCCAGCGAGAAAGCTGCAGTGTCACCGGGGCTCCGATCTTTTCGTTTCTCTTACGTCTGTTGCGCTGGGTGACTCTGCGCGTGCATTGTCGGGGTTGAAGACCGCTGGCCTTAGGCTGATGCAGTAGAAGGGACGGAGGGACAGCAGGTCGGGAGGCTGCAGAGCGGCTGCCACCGGCACCCGTGTGCGAAGAGGCTGGCAGCGCCCGGGCGTTTCTGCCCTTTTGAGCTTGTAGTGTGGGCGGAGGGCGTCGCTTGACGTTTTGGGTCAAAGATGCATCGGAGAAACCTGCCCCGGTTCGCCTGAGCCCATCTACAAAGCTAGGATGTGGTGCGACTCGTTGGCGCGGGAGGCCGACGGCAAGGGTGCTGGAAGCGCTCTTGGGGCCAGGCCAGCCCTTCGCGTGCCGGCAGGCTCGCCCCGCGTGGCCCCGGGCAGCCTCGTAGCCCGGTACGGCGCCTTCGCTTACTCCGTCCCCTTCGCGTCGCCGTTCTCACGGCTGAGTCCTCGGGAGATCGCATCCTGGGGGCTTGTGCCGGGAAGAACGTGTTTCGTGTTGTGTCGAACGCTCGGGCTGCGTTTGAGGCTGAAAGCATTTGTATGCTGCTTCAGCCCTGCCCTCGTTTGCAGAGGTCTGGAGGATGGTAAAAATGCAGATTAGCGTTGTTTCAAATAGTCTTCAGGCCAGCTGCACTAACCTTGCTATCAAGTACTGTTTCCACCAGAAGGCGTGTCTTCTGGATCACGGAGAAGTACCGTGAGAAGTGCCACCTCTTAAAGGACTGAATTCTGAACATTTCTGTTCTTTACATATTACCAGTGTGCTGAGGCTATGTTTTCGTCTCTAGTGATGAAGTTGAGATAGACGAAGGTCTGGGGTGCTTAGTCTCATGCATCTGTAGCAGGTTGTCTTTTCAAAAGCAAATGCATTTGTCACTTTCTAAACGTCAAGCCTGCCTGAGAAGAGCTCTCCAAAATTGGCAGTGCTTAGATCTACCAGTCTTTTTTTTTTTTATCCCATGCAAAATGTTAGTTACATCTTTTTAGGCACCTAGAGGAACTCGGCTATGAATAAGCTACATTTTTGTTTAAAGGCATTATTTTTGCACTGTTTTTACCAGGGAACCTAACAGGTCATACCATAAATCAGAGGCAAGCATCTTGGTTGTTTTCCATCTGGGTCCAAGAACTGTTACAGCAGCTTGACTCTTACATACATAGACGTTCAGAAATGAACCATCCTGCTATGGAGGTGTAGGATGTAGCTGCTTTTTGCTCCCTGAGACGTGACACCTCCTGTCATTAGAGACAAGACATCCTTGGAACAGAAGCAAAGTCCATAAAATTGGGGATGGGGTGTCGCTTGAAGTGTCCCATGCTCAATATCAAGTGCAGCAAAGATGAAAGGGGGGAAAAACAAGGCTTGGAAGCCTTGTTGGAGAGGAGCAGTGGATAGGACAAAGGTGTAGTGCGAAGTCCTGCAAATATGTACAGGCAATGCCCACCAGCAGCTTGAAATAGCCTTCTGGAGAAGCACTTACTTGAACTTTTACTTATAGCAAATTGGATGGAATTTGTATTTTCTTCCCCATTTTCCTGTCTTAATGCATCTGAAATAAGATGGCAGTAAGCAGTGACTATCATCACAATGCACTTCTGATTAACAGCAAGGGCACAAGGGCACTCTCAAAATAGAAGCAAAGTCGGGATTGTTTTAAATCACAGTGTTGCAGAAGTATTAAAGCAGAAGCCGTAATTCTGATGTGTTCAGAAATAAAATGCATGCTACTGTAAACCATTGTGTACATTCATCTAGCTGCTACTGCCTGGCATAACCTTTTGCATTAGGTTTCTGTGATTCATCTTTTCTTTTGTTTCAGAGAGTCGAATGATTCTGGATGCCTTTGCCCAACAATGCAGCCGTGTTCTAAGTCTCTTAAATTGTGGTGGAAAACTACTGGACAACAATCACTCTCAGTCCATGATTTCTTGTATAAAGCAGGAGAACCCAACTTATAGTGAAAGACAAGAGCAATGTCAGCTTGGGAAAATGGTCCATAGTCAGACGTCAGACATTTTAGACATAGAGATGCAGTATATGCAAAAGAAACAGCAAACCTCAGCCTTTCTGAGAGTTTTTACTGATTCCCTTCAGAACTATTTGCTTTCTGGGAGCTTCCCTTCTCAGAACACCTCATCAGTAAATGATTTTAGCCATTTGGCAGATGTGGATCCACTTTCAACCTCTCCAGTGCACACTTTAGGTGGATGGACATCTCCAGCAACATCTGAATCTCATGGTCACCCATCATCTTCTACACTTCCAGAGGAGGAAGAGGAGGAAGAGGAAGAAGGTTACTGCCCTCGATGTCAAGAGCTAGAGCAGGAGGTAATTTCATTGCAACAAGAAAATGAGGAACTTCGTAGAAAATTGGAGAGCATTCCAGGTAAATAACCACCTGCCATGTAATATTGCTAGTCAGTGATAAAAACAGTTTGGGCAATAGTTTAAGTTCTAGTTGTCTTTTAAGGTTGTAGTCATAGTAATCAAACACTGGAATTTGCCTCCATCCAAAATTCCTATAGCTGTGCCCACTGGAAAGTTACCTGCTGATACTCATCCGTACGAATTGTGAGCTCTAGACTAATAAGCTGTGTTCAGGATGGGATGTACTTGTAATCCCAAATTCCAAACATCCGATGATTTGTCTTGGTAATTTCAAACATATGCTTTTATATACCTAATTATCTGTATTGGTTTTTAAGTGATATTGCAGCTTATAAACTTAATTCCCTTTTGGGGCTCCTTTTTTGGTTACTTAAAGGAACTATTCAAAGTTAGGTCCATACTTTTAACCGTAATAGATTTGGCTTTTACCTTGAACAGTATCTCTTTAATTGCTGATAGCTTAGTGAGAAGCATAAATACGTCTCCTCCCATTCATCTTCAAATAATACCCAAAAAAAAGCTTGGCAACAAGTTCTCCAGTTCAGCAATACCAAGCTGCCACTGTGGGAGAGAAAGCAGACAGAAGAACCTCATCTAATAGAAACCCTCTCTGTGAAAAACTTCTCTTGCACCTTTAAACTTAGGACTTCTCGCTGACATACTTGAAGAGTGATATCAGATGAGAACAAAGTATCTTGGACCCATACCCTCTAAACTTTAAGCACAGGCAAAAATGCACCTCAAATGATAATACTAAAAGCAAACTGGAATTTAGCAAGGAAAATAAGTATACAACACACTTATGACACATCTATAAATGCTAGGGAGCTGCACCTTTGCTAGCTAAAGTTTGAGGTGCTTAGGGTAGATTCATGCAAAGTTAATTGAACTAATCCCTAAATAGCAGAAAAGCGCAGGTAATTTAGCATGGGCTACAAGAGAGAAAATACTCCATAGCTGCTAAGGAAAAAGTAAAAGTAAGGAAAAAGGCAGTGACCAACTACTGCCCTAATATGTAGGTGCAGCTGCAAAATCTGAGCAAAAAGCAAGCAGCAGTATTCCTAATTCTTGTCCCCATCTATCGATGATGTAGTATGAATTATTTGCATTACGTTGTGCATTGGTCCCTAGGGGTACCAGCAAATCCCATAACTAACATTGTTCATTGCAGAGAAGACCCAAAATTTAGACTTATTTCTGCCACCCCTCCCCAAATCTGGAGTCACCGTAACTCATACACTTTCACCGGATTCAGTAGTGGTTCGTACATTATGTGGAAACACTGTGTTACGAAGGGAATCGTGGACTTCAAGTCCTGTTGAGTCCTAGTTTCAGTATAAGACCAAAAATGATCATTAAGGTCTATAATCTGACCTGCAGCTTTCATTCAATCCCTCGTATCAAACCCAGTAATCTTTCTTTCTTTGACTAAAGCACAGTTTGCATTTGAGTCAAGTAATATCTCAGAAGGCCTCCAGTCCTGAGTTGGAGACTCTGGTAAGCAGTGACTGTACCTCTTACCCTGACACTTGACTCCAGTGGTTAATTACACTGCTGAAAATGTGTGCCAAATTCCCTGCCTGACTATCTGAAATCAGCTTCTAGTCATTGACTTTTATGCTTTGCTCCACTAAATTAAGTGCTGTATAGGACTGGGTGCTTTTTCTGGGTGAAGGTACCTACAAATTGAAAGCTGATTTAATTTTCATCTTAGATAAACTAAGCAAACAGAGCTGTTTAAAACTCCCCAAATGAGTTGAATCCTTCTTTGTAGTTCTTTTCTCACCTCGACTCATTTCTTTAAAATTTGGGCACTATGAATATGTGCAATATCTTCGTATCTGCCTGAGCAAAGGTGAATAATCTCTTTGTTCCCACCCGCGGTTGCCCTGGTCATTTGGCCAGCATTCTGTGCACATTTCTTCATAAACATACACACTTTGAATTTGGCTGTGTCCATGTGCTAAGTGATCCAGATTGCTTTGGCTGCCCTGTTTTCCCACTGTTTGCTGGTTTACCAATTTCTGCATCATCCAGAATTGTTTTTTTTAATTGTTTTTAAATTAACTTTGTGGTTCTGGTTAGAAATGTTGAATGATATCGAGGCTGCCATCAGTCCCTGTTGAGCCCTGCTAGAAACACATCTATTCATGATGATTCCCCCAGTGACAGATACTTGAGGTGTCGGTAGCACGTTATTAATCCAGGTATGCTCTAGTCTACTGATGTTGTGTGTTGCTGCTTTTGCAATCAGTTAACTCATGGTAGTAAGTTAAATGCCCTTCAGGAGTCTACGTATATTACATCTGCTCAACCCAACTTTTTCAAGCGAAACTGTAATCTCATCAAAGAATGACAATCAGGTTAGTCTGACAAGATCCACTTTCCATAAGACCATTTTGGCTGGCGTTAATTATATTCGTATTCGTTAGTTCTTAGTCGATTGAATCCCGTTGCGATTGCCTGTATTTTGCTAGGATTAATGCCAGGCTAAGCAGCCCGTGTTTACCTGGGTCATCACAGTTACCCTTCATCCCACTCTAAAAGAGAGAGAAACATACATAAACATAGTCCTTTTTCACCCCCCAGGATTAATGAAACACCTTGTTAGTGGTGTATCAAAGGAAGCAAACATAAAATAAATGTGCAAGGATGTGTGACTTCATCAGCCAACATGAAATCATCATCAGATGCATCTGCTGCTGTCTGGGTGACATATACAGATAGGTCTAAAGTGACCCATGTGTTTGGGGAAGCCACAGAAAGTGCCCTCTGATTTTGCTACGTGGTAGGACAGAGGTCTGAGCTCCCTGGGCAGTCCCACAGCCACCACTGAGCAAGGTTAATCAAAAATCGGCTAAATGCAGTGTCTGTCTCCAGTGCTGATTTTGCTCCAAGGAGCTTCTGCTACCAAAGAAGCTGGCAGAAATTTTAGTGGGACTTGAAACACCCAACTCTGGATGCAAACAGGCGCAATGCTCATTGTCTGAGCAGGGCTTTTTTGCCAGTCAAGACGTGTGCCTCAGGAGGGAGCCAGAAAGCCCCCTGCAGAGGGTGTCCATGTGGTTTGCCACCATCTATCACATCAGAGTCATCTTGGAGCACGACGTTTCTTCCTCGCCTGTTCATATGCCTCACGCTGGACGTCCGATGGGCCGGGCAAGGCGGTTAGGGCAGGGGAAGAGCGACCGTGAAAGCTAGGTGAGCGTGGGGGCTGCCATACTGTGCCATCAGGCTGCTGAACGAGCAGTTTTTGACTTGGTGGTTTTCCCACTCATCCTTGAGGGAGCTGGGCCAGAGCTGCTGGGTGAGGCTGGCCGGGGACCCCGCGGGGCGGTGGGAGACGTGCAACATGCCCTCCCCATGGGTGCTGAGGCTCCCACTGGCAACCCTGTCAACCGAAGATAAAAGCACCAACCCCTCCCTTCTGCTCTGTAACCATCTATGAATCGTTTTATCCTTTTCCTGAAATACTTTGCATTTATTTCTTTTTTTACTTTCCATATGCAAAAGCCCTTTTAAAATCCATGAGAGTTTGCGGTCTAAAAATAGTTATCGCTGTGCATCTCTGCCTCTAGCTCTGCAAAGCACCATTTGCATGGCTCCCGAAGAGACTACCGGGAAGAAGAGTGTTTTCTCAGCAGATGTAAAGGCAACGTCTTTTTTTTTTTTTTTTTTTGACAAATATTACACAAAACATATCCTCCTGTAGCTTTTGGACACAATAAGATTTTTCTGTTTTCAGGACTCTGCCCTGTTGCAGTAGAAGCCCTTCAGTCCTGTAGGATCTTTTTGTCCATAGTCTAGCATCACTCTTTGGCAGCTCACCACTGGAGAAGAGCAATTAAGTGGGTGAAATATTGCATATCTTTTGGTTGTTGGGATGGGTTTTTTCCTCAAAAAATACCCATTTGATTTGACTGAAACAATACTTAAATTTGTGTGAAATCTTGTTTCAGCTGTGGAATAAATGAAGAAAAATTACTATTTCAGTGCTTCGATTTTGGAGCAATGTGGTATCTTACAATTTTTGCGGTTTTCTCCAATAACTGGGGTTTTTTAGGAAAAGGCATTAACTGAACGTTTTCAGTTAAACTGAAAAAAAGAGAAACATATTTATTCAGTGTGTTCTTTGCTGTTGTTTTGAAAATAATTAAAGATTATATAATTCCTGGAAGGAGTTTGGCAAACTTGGCATTGGCTCTTCAAGGTTTTGAGACTGTCAAAAAGAGAGCAAAATGATCCATCTACATAAGGAAAAAAAAGTCTCCTCATCTCTTTCCTCTATAAAAATTACTAGGGCTGTGATACATTCCCAGTAGTAAAATTAAAGACTTACTTGTGAGACTGCGTGTAAGGCCTGGATTTAGACCCTCTAATATATAAGGATATTAAGCAGTTCTCCTTTGCTATAGTCAGCAGGATTTTCTCACAGCTTTTGGCCTAAAAGGGAGAAAATATTTCCAGGTGGTTACAGCAAAGGCCAGGAGTCGTGAGTGAGGCTTTGTCTCCAGGTGCTCCCAGCTTTGCTGCATGGTTTTGGACAAACCAGCCTGAAAGCAGTGAAAAAGTATAAATAAGATGAAGCAGTGTGTGATAAATACAGTAATTATTCTTAACCTTGTTAGCCCCGGCAGCAAAAAGTGCTCCAGCAAACAGCAGAAGAATGGGGGTGGAAGACCCCCTCAAACACAGAGAGGTGATCACCTACAGAGACGACGGTCATGGTGGCTGGGAGTAGCCAAAGCAAAGCAGGATTTGCAGGTAGAGGTAATATCAGTGTAATTGAAAGAGTCAGACAAGTTTTCCAGGAGGTTTTGTGTGCCCAAGGCTTGACTCTTTTTCCTGACTATATCGGATGATCTAATAAAAGATATTACTTTTCCTTACAAATCCTGTCTCCTTTATACTTTCAGAGCATCGCATTTCCAAAGAGCCTACCACAGCCGCAGCGTAGATAAAGCAGCCATCAAGGGTTGCGACGAGCACTTTTTCATG